TCGAAAATTTTATTTCAACAATTTTGGAATTGCACCAAACTGAATTGGATATTGGCTTTCTGAAATTTTTAATTAATAATGAATATTTTAAACAACAAATATAAATTGTTTAAGTTGTAAGTTTTCAGAAATTTCAAATCTAACGAAGTAATTTTTCATGTAGTCCTCAAAACACCCTAAATTTAAATCCTGAGAATATCTCTGTAATTTATTAAAATTACTATTAAATATTTTGACATTTTGTTAAAAAAAACTTTGTAGGTCTTTTAGGAATTCCAGTTTTTTTTTGTACTTAAATTTTAGATTTCTAAGTGCATAATAATATTTTTAAAATTTACGCCATTTAAAATTAAAATTGCAATTAAAGGAAAAAAGAAAAAAATTTAAAAATTTTTAAAGTTCATCAAAAATAGGTAACTAAATTGAAATTTTTCAGGGAAAAAAAAATTTATATTTTATATAAGGGGAAAAACTTTAAGGAGTCTTCAGAGAGAGAGCACAGTGAATAAAAAATTAATTTAGCAAATTTTTCAAGAAAAAATTTTAATGAACAATTTTCTGATTCAATAAATTTTCTTATAAACCAAAGCATGTCAATTATGTGTCCTTTAATGCAACAGAAAATTAAAAAGAAAAAAAAAAAACACAAATATGCTGGTTAATTTTTTCCGCTTTTTAATATGCCTTATAGCTGATTTTTTACTTCTTTTAGTATATTAAAAATTAAATTCCAGTAAATTTTACATTTTTTTCGTTAAATTTATTAAATATTCTCGTAATAAGGAATTGTTCGACAAATTTTAGGATATATTAGTCGTAATGAACAAATTAAATGTAACTGTTAATCTGTAATCGGAAAAGTAAATGTGTAATCCAAAAAAAAAACAAGTGGTAATTAAAGTAAAGTAAAGAACTTCAAGTAATCAATCATCTATGAATTTCTTGCTCAAAATTCATAATTAATTAAAGTGTGTAAATAGTTATTTTGAAATTTCTTATATACATTTAAAATGGCAAGGAAAAATATGGCATTGTCATAAAATGTGGAATTTTTATTTAAAAATTTTCTTAAAAAATTAGAGTTTTTATTTTGTTTTATTAATTTTACAGTTTCGTAAATAATATGACAAATACTTTACAAAATCGTTAGTACAGGTAAAAAGTAAAACAGTTTAAATTAGTATAATTTTAGAGCCTCTATTCAGTTATTTATCAGCTTTTATTAATATTTTTTCTAAAATTAAGTCAAATTTTCAACGTTATGAAAAATTTAATGTCATCTTTTTAGAATTGTTAGGATCCGACTAAATTTTGTTCGATTATAGATTTGGATACGGAAAATTCTTATATCGCGTAATAACTAATTATGTGATACGTTCAATTAAAGCCAAGAGTCTTTTACAGAAATTCAAAATTAATTCAGTAGTAAAATATAAAAAGTAAATTATTTTACTTAATTAATTTTAAAACAATCGCATTTAACTGCGATTAAAGGTCTTCTTCTTAAACCTTATAAATGGAAAAATTTACGTATGATACAACTGTGTGCCACTTTTTACCACATTTTTTTCTGTAAATCGCTTAAACTTTAGCGGAATATTGAAACTTTTATTTTTCTTTAAAACATGAATTTTTTTTTCTTTTTTTTGACTAAAACTTTGCAAAAAAAAAGAAACTTTACTTCGTCAGGAATCCATTAGATTCACATCCATAAGTTTATTCTTTTTAAGAGCTTCTTTTTTTTTTGAAAGTGAATTTTTCTCGGTTTTTATAACAAATATTTTATAGAATATTATCGAATATCAAATTAAAAAAAAAAAAAAACAGAATGAGGGAAAAAATTTCAAAAAAATTTGCAATTTTTAAAGTTTTTAATATATTTAAAATTTTGTTTTCTTATACAAGGACAACATTGAGGAGCATAAAATTTTCATTAGTCCTTGATTTAAATTTTATACTCTGTATATATATAAATATATATATATATATATATATATGCATATATGGAGAATTTCAGTGAAAAATTATTTATAATGCATGTAGGTTAAAGTAAAAGAATTTTTGGTTTTAAGCAAATATTTTTTTTTTCTAATAAAGAAATTTTCTTAAAGAAAATTTTTACAAAATTGCAAGTTTCTTTCTAAATTTAATGGATATTAAAAAAAAAGTTGATTTGATAGTAAAATCTTCTTAGATTAATTTAAAATTTCAAAAAAATTATCTATAGATATTATTATGTTGCTAATTAAAAATATATAATTTAAGAAATATTGAAAATTTTACAAAAGACAAATATAGTTATTCTGATCCCGAATATATAAAGACTAAATCAAAAATTATATCCGAATTTGTGTGAAAATCACAATGGGTTGTTGAATAGCATTAATCGGGATATAAAACAAGAGGGTTGTTTTTGTAAATTTCGTTACTTCGGAGTATTTCGGAAAATAATTTCAGCTTGGTGATCTGATAGATATACATCTTCTTATAGCTTAGGGGCATGATATATCTTCTTATAGCATTAGTTATTCAATTGTGATTGAGAATACTTATCAGAATGCTTTAATTGTTTGAAACCTTTTGTAATTGAATACTATAGTCTTGCAAAATATGACTACGATATTAAGGTAATGGGTATTTTTAAGTAATTATACAGGGTGAGTCAGAAAAACAACATATATAATTGGTTAGAGAGTCAAAAATGTGTAAAATTTTTATTCTGGACTAGGTGCTAAGTGTCAAGAGCTTCAAAGTTACAGAGATTTTAACAAATTTTCATGAAATTTCTACTTATCCCGGAAAAAGTAGGGGCTTCTTTTTATCTACTTTCGGAATACAAAGCATTTGCACTTTAAGAAAAATCAAAATTTTCCATTTTTTGATTTTTTTTTTAGTTTTCTATAACCAAATAATTTCATACAAAATTTTTTGAAACTTGTTTTACAGAATTTTGCCCAGCTGCTTAGAACATTTTCTTAAACCATTACGTACTAAATGAAAAAAATTTAGGTGCCACTTGGCCGACATTATGTAAGTCTTTTAACAATTTTTATAATTATTACTTTAACTAATTTATAAAACTCGCAGTTCGGGACGGTTTTAGTAATTAAATGTGCCCATTGTAATAGCAGGAATTAATGTAAATTATAGATAATTTATTACAGATAAATATGAAATCGAGACATCTTCATTTCATTAAATTTTCCTTGTTGATTTTATTAAATTATCTATTAGATTTTGATTTTAGAATTTTAATTAAATTGCCTAAATAACAACGAAATTATTATGAACAACGAATTCTAAATAATTATGACTATTCAGCGGAAAAAAAAATTTATTTAAAATTACGAAAGCAAATTTTAAAACTATATGAATTTCGTATATAAATTTATTTACAATGCATAAAATTTCTGCTTCAAAAAATATAAAAAGGACATTTTTGTTAAAATTTTTTCTATGTAAATTGAAAAATTTCAAATTTTTTTTTTTCTATAAAATAAATGTGAAAAATTCTTAAAAAATACAAAGAGATGTGTTTTTTTTTTTTTAAACTGAACTCTGAAAATTTTTCATTTTTCATAAAGTGAAATTGAAATTTCAATAAAATTTTTCTTAAAGTCAAGCATGAAAACAAAAAAGAAGTACAATTTTTAAATAAAAATTTTATGTATGTGATTAAAAAGATACAATTCAAATTCAAAAGGAAAGTCAAAAATTTTTTATCAATTTTATTATTTTGTGATTCAATATAAAAATGCGAATATTAAAATGTGTCTCAAGGAGACTGTGCCATTATACTAAATTTAAGATATTATATAAAATATAATTATATGGCAATATTAAAGAAAAAACAAATATATTTTATGCTTTTGTTTAACTTTTCCTATTAATCCATTTTGTAAATATTTTCATTATCATTTACAAGTACTTTTAAGATTGTAATTATGTAATAACATACCATTTTCATTTATGTATATGGTATTAGTCTTTTAAAAAGTTTTGAATTACCATAGTTAATTTCCCATATATAAAGTTTAAGTATTTATGTATTTGCTTTTTATATGTTTTAAGTGTGTATTATATAATAATATATACATATACTTTGAAGTTTGAGTTTATGAGTATTTGAATGAAAAATTGCTATTGTAATATAGGAATAAACTGCTAAAATTCTATACCAAATCAAGATATTGTTATTAACATTATAAAAGAAAACTTCATTTTAATTAAATGCTTTTAAATATGAAGTTCATTTATTCATATTTTGAATATTTATTTTTTGTGTAATTTTTAATTTTAATTTTGTGTATTTATTATGTAATTAGAATTGAATTATATTTTAAGGTACACAGAAACGGTAGATAAAATCTTTGTGAATTATTCATTAACTGAATGAGAATTTTCAAAATATTATTGATTTCAATTTTAAAGAGCTTTCAGAATAATATTCATTCACATATTACGCAGTATAGTAAAATGAAATATTCTATCGTACATAATTGATATTTTTAATTTAAATTGCATATTTTTAGGGGAAACAGAACATCAATTCGTATATAAGGAAGAACAGTATTATTGATATTCTAGTCGTTTGATTAATTAGAGCTGGAATTTTAGTAATTTTGTATATGCCACCCATCATTTTCGTATAAATTCTATGTAATTCATTATGTGTTTTTGTGCATCGCATTTGTATTAGTGAGATTAAAAAAAGAAGTGAGTGAGAGTTATCCATTCGCAACATGTAATTTTAAAAAAGAGGAGTATGTTTTTCTAATTATTCCACTTTTCGAAAGATCATGAATAATTCTCAATTTTAAAAGAGCAAATTTAGGAATTGTTAATTTCCGTGCATTTACTTTTAATAAAATAATAAAAGAAAATATTTATGAAAACTCATATGAAAAGGCACAGGCTTATATAAAAATACTTTATATACACATATAAATATTCGACTATTATTAAAATATTGTTAAATTTTATTTAAAAAAAAAACTCACCTATATTCATGAGATATAAAGAAAGTTCCTCTTATTTCACAGCCATTTGGATTTTTACGTTTTCCATTAAAGACTTTTTTATAATGTTCGTAATTATTTAAATTTATAGCACCATCAAAAGTAAGTAAAACCATTTGAGGAATCTATTTGAATAAATGAAAAAAAAATATTTAAAAAAACTAAAAATATTTAAAAAAAAAAAATTAATAATTAAATATACAAATTTACGACGAATTAACGGTAAGCAACAGCACCTTTTACAATTCAGAAAAATAAATTATTATTGGAATTTTGAGTTACATGACTGATATTCTTTTGGATCCATAATGTATTCGGTACTGTAGTTAAATTTAATTTAGATATTAATATCTATACTAAATCCAACAATTCATACATATATGTAACTTTAATTAAATCAATCTATGGCATTAACTGTAACTCAAGATAGGGCATTTTACAATAAAATTATATAAAATTCAGAGAACGCCACGGTAGTTACTATCCTTTATCTTCTTATATTGATTTTCGTCTTGAGCAGTTTAAAATACCGAGCTCAATAGGCTAATTTTAAAATATTGACGCTTGTATTAATTTTTAAAGGGTTTTAAAACAATTTTTATGAAACCAAAATGAGTATAATAAAATTATAACAATCTAGACTTTATTTGTTTAATATTCAGTATATTTTTTCCAAATTTACTACAAATTAGGACATTAAAGAATAAAATTATTTTATAAAATAAAGTTCACGTTGTGACATTAAGAAAATATTATATAACAATGGTCAGTAATTTTATTTCTCATATATTTCTTTATGAAGAAATAAGAATGAATTATTTTGTATAAAAGTTTTAGTTTTTCGTCCAAAAAAAAAGAAGACCAAAATAAATATACACAATAGGGAAAATTGGAAAAATAGTGCATGTTCCTATGTATATTGTTGTAATAAATTACTTTAACTATAATACTTCTTTATTTATAAATACATACACATAAGTGTACATCTATAAGATTATTTGTAAACTTTATTGAAAAGAGTAAAAGTAATGATTTTAGTAGTGAATTGTGTAAAAGAAAAGAAATAATTTCAAATTTTCTTTTATTTTTTATTTCATAATCTACTGCACCGGAAAATTATTCTTATTTATACCAATATATGGTTTGTATACATATGTATATGTGTACGTAGAAATAAATATGTTTAGTATATCATATTTTAGGTTATGTCCATTACAATCAAAGAATATGGAATAAGTAAGAAACTATGACTTTTATAAACATTTTTTTTTATTTTTACTTAAGAAGGTAAACAATATAAAAAATTATTTTTGAAAAGTTTTTCTATAGAAATGTTTTATAGGGTACGGTTAAGTTTTAGAATGCATGCACATAAATATAGAACGTTACACTGTTCATATTTATGTGCATGCATTCACCCTCATATTCACCCTCATCATGTATATATTGAGTCAAACGAACAATTTAATTTACAACCACAAACAGTAAGAATAGAAAAAATTGAAAGCCAACGTGTTAAAGGACGTGAATTATGAAATTTCTGATCTTTCAGTTGGGCTTATTCTAAAGAGCGAATCACCAAGTGATAATTTAATATTTATCGTAAATTTTTTTAAATGTTATTAAAGACATAATTCGTTTATACAAATAGGTTTGTGTTTACGATGTGTTTAATCTCACTTATTCTTTTACGTGACAGAATAAAGGTCCTTCTGTATGCAATGTTCTTCATTCAATATTTTGCCAATATTGTATATAAAAATCGTATGTGTATCATAAGATTCTAATTGCCCATATTGCGTAACTTTTCTACATCCAAAATAGTTAAAAAATTGAGTTTAAAGAACAAATATTTCATTAAAAAAGTATTTTTCATTTTAGAAAATTCTGTATTATTTTTTGTATTAAATACAAAATTTTGGTTCTGAATGAAGAATAAGTAAGTATTTATTCGTTGTTGGCAGAACAGTGATTGTAGAATGTAAGTAGATTTGCAAAGTGTCAAAACAAACTTTAAACTGCATTAAATGCAACAATAAAGAGATTGTTAATGATGGAAATATTGTCGTCATCAATAAAGATTAGTGTTAATAAAATTGTAATGCAAGAGTAATAAAAAATATTCAACGTCAACTTAAATGTTTTTTTAGTTTTATATTAAAATTTAAAAACTGATGTTACATGAGAACAATGAGAGTTTGTTTTATAATTTTTTAACGTTTTGGAGTTTTAACTAAAATTTTTGATTTAGTTTTGTATAATAAACCCGTTGCGTTAGCAAGCAAAGAAAGTAATTTTACAAAATTTTGTGAGGTATTTTTAAATACTGGATTGTTATAATTATAAAATCGCAAAAAATTATTTATCATCTTCTTTTAATGTACCTACATATATAGAATCTTACTTTAAACCGTTTTTATTAGTGAAAAATAAGAACTTGTAAAAAATTGTATAACAGAATAATTATATTTAATTTATATAAGAGTAATAATTAAATATTATATTTACATTTTCTGGATCTAGTCCACCGGGAACACCAGTACCATCTTTTGAACAGAAACAATATGGTAATTCACATTCAGCTGGTTTACATTTTTGTGCTAAATCTAGTGGTGCATCAGTTACGGGTGCTGGTGCTAAAATAAAAATAAAATATTTGTAACTTTAAAAGCATTTAAACATTATAATTAATATAATCTTTATCAGTACGAGTCAAATTCAAATTGATTGCAAGTATTGAAGAAACAAGCGTTGAAATAGAGTATATCCATAATTATCTTTTTTTTTTTAATCTTTTCGAAATTCCGTGATATTTCTTGAGTATTTTTGTATTCTTTATTTTGAACTGCAATGCAAGCACTAACTGCATGAGTAATATTAAAAGTAACCCATGATCACTCGGGTTGCCAGTTAAAGGGTTAGAGATTTGCCCTTAATTTAAAACAAATTTGTTCTTTGAACTTAAAGCAATTCAATTATTTGATTTAATCCTTATTCATATTATTAACCTTCAAAATAATTATGTATGTGAATTTTGAACTATGTATTTAACATTGTAATTTTTAAATTTTTGTAATATGAAAAAATAATTGATTTTTTTTTAAAATAAATTTTATTAATATTTAATTGAGTTAATTTTATTTTTTTCTGATTCAGTATGTAATAAAAATGATTGACATGCATAATATTTAATTGTAGTTGGCTTAGTTCTATCAGAATAAAGAAAAAAAAATAATATTCATAATTTTATTAACATGAATTTTAAATGAATTATTGCTATGTTTTTTAAATAAAAAACAAATTTTGGAAAAAATACATACATAAGTTAACAGTTAAGTAATTAAATGTCAAAAATAAATGTACGATCTTAATTAGAACACAAATTAATCAATTATTTGGTTAACTTACGTTTATGAATTAATTTATTTCATCAGTTTAACTAATTATAATTAGTAAGTAATGCAATAAGGTAGATTATTTTTCACTATTTCTGCGAGTGTCAGACTCTAGGCGGGGCCGGACTGGTCGCATGGAATAGAGCAAATGTGACAGGGTTGGAGGAAATGTCGAAGATCGGGATTCACATAGATTCTTCAAGAGAACCGAGTGTCTTAGATAGTCCATCTCTAATGGTATGCTCAAAGACGACCTGGTAGTGGTAACAAAACGGCGCATTTATGCTAATTGGGGTGCGATGGACCAGATGCACCGGCAACGTTAACCAACCAACCATACTAAGGTAATATATTACGAGTATAATACAAAATTCAAATTATTTTAAGTTACAATTGGAGAACAATATTAATATTCAGGTGAATTAATGTTTTAAATAAAGTTAGTTTGTAACATTCTAATAAAATAAGAATTAGCAAATCCTGGAAGGAGAGCAATACATATTTGCACATACATACATATGTTATCACAGGCATGTCAGATAATTATTTGCGGGTATAAAACGTTCTTGGTAAAATAGTATCAGTATTCGAGAGATGTTATTTATAAAATTAGTATTTAAATCAAAGAATAAATTACAAACGGGGAATTAAATGCTAGAATTAATTTTATTAATGATTAAAATTATGTTGATTTTTAGAAAGTTCTAAAAAAGCTTTCAATTATTATTTATCCTTCTTCTCATACTAAAAATTTAAGGCTTCTTAAAAGCTTATGTATTTTGATGGAATTTTATGAATTGCAAAATGTTCCGAACTTATGATTCTAATTTTCACTGAAATTTTTTTTAACATGTAAAATTAAATAACTACATCACAATACACAATTTTTTTGTAAATTTTTTTTAGTATTTGTTACAGTTTTACTGAATCGTTTATAATGAATCATTTAATATATGATGTTCAAAACCACAGTAGATATACATATGTATGTACATTAAACTAATGCGAACAAAAAATTTAGTTACAACACTACTATTGGAACATTTCATTAGCAGTGCAATTTATTAATTAGTGAGTTAGAATTATTATTAGCTGAAGACAGCGTATAATTAAAAGCAGCTTCATTTAGTTCAAAATTTTATTGTTATGTTTAAAAGAACATCAAGATAATTCAAGTAATTCTTTAAATGCTCGTCATGAAAATGCAGAGAAATTAAATTAATATGCAACATTTGGCTACATAATCGGTGTAAAATAAATAAAAATATTCTTTTGTAAATTGAATACTTTATGGTTGGTTTGTTTACTTAAAAATTAAATTTTTTTTCATGTGTATATTGATAATTTTTGATTAACCACAAAATAAGGGTTCTGGTGAATTCTGACAGTTTAATTTTTTTTTGTTTTTATATACGAATGTGAAATAATTTTGAATTAACCATTTGAAAAAAAAAAAATTAATAATTAAAACCACTCAATTTTATTTCATTATTTTGTTTAATAATTTAATTTAAAGGAACAAAAATTTGATGTGGTCAGTATGTGTCCGATCATGTTGTGAAAGCGTTGCGTAAGGTTAAATGTTAATTTCAAATTTTATGAAAGGTAGTAGAGCCTAGAAAAATGTAAAATTTGTTTTTAGTTGAGATTCAGCTTATGTGACACGATTTTCTTGAAAAGTTTCCTAGATAATTTCGTTAACAATCAAAACATTAAATTAGAAGAAAATCATAAAAAATGTAAAATAGACTTCTGGTGAAAAATTGGTTTACAAATCTTGATATTCAAAAAAAGAAAATACTGTCCCACTGTTTTAATAATTTCAGTTGATATATCAAATTTCAAGGGAATTAGATTAATTATAAGCAAAATTTAGCAAGAATGTCAGTAGAAAAGTTGCACGTTTTAGATCTGACACACCTCTAGAAGCTCCTCAAATCTTATCATTCCCGAAGTAAACTCTGTATATTTTTTTCCGTGAAAATCGCTTCAGTCAAACTTTGGGTACAGGAGTGCACAAATACGCTGAGAGACCGGCGGACAGAGAGAGAGGTAGGCAGATATCTTTTTAAAAATAATTTATTTGTATTACCCTACCATGGAGCAATGCTTTTTCGCCGAAAAATTGACATCCGCAATTTTGTGACATTACATAACCTCCCTTGTTGTATGCAATGCGGTCAGTAAAAAATATTCACAAGCATGAAGAGTGTATTGAAGTAATATAGAAATAGATGCATTTACAGAAATATTTGATATATAGGTTGTGTATAAGAATATATTGGTTTATGTGTATGAGTTAATACAATTAACTCATGATTAAATTATATTTTTGTAAATTTTAACGTATTGGCAAATATACTTCAAAATTTTTAATAATTTACTGATATAAATTAAGTATACATGTAGGTTTATGTACGTATAATTAAAATATGTGTAATTGTTAATTTAATAATTTTTAATTTTGAATAATTTAACAAGATTAATAGAATTTCATGTTTATTTCATGTTTAAAAACTTATTTAAAGTACCATTTAATACATTTGATAACAATTTATAATATTATTAAAAAATAACGTTCTAAATATGCATAATTGACCTAATTTAATTATTTCGATGCACGTATAATGAACAACATTTTAAAGATTTAAAATGTTTTTGCGATTTAAATTCTGTTTTTTGAAAAGCACACTTAAAATGAAAATGAATTACTGAAAACAATTCTGTTTCCCTATGTACATATATGTATTTTTTATCTATTAATCTGTTATAAAAGAATTCGAAATGTTTACTGTCACATACTTCACTTTTAGGAGAACCTATCTTTAGAAGAATTTTTCTTATCTCTATAACAAACGCTTAAAAAAAGCTTTTATGATTTCCAAATCTTAAGGAAAATGTGAAATTTCAAATTTCCACAAATTTTTGTAAATTAGAAATTTTTTTTTCATATTTAGTTGTGCTAAATTTTAAATACCTATTTAATATATTAAGATCTAGTTATTGAATTGAGTTTTCACAAATTAATATAATTCTATATTGATTTCGTAATTCGTAGCGGCATCTAGTAAAAATAGTTTTTCACTTTAGACATTTCTACCTTTTTGACCGAAGAAAATAATGATTAAAGTTTAATGATCTCCCATTAAACTTTTCTTCTTCTTTTAATGAATTGTGTTTAATGAGAGCAGCACCGACTCTGACTTGTTCGGCGCCTTACGCAGTTTCCAAAAAGCGATTTATAATATACAATAAACATTGCAGATTGCGCATAATAAATTACTTTCTTGTAACTTTGTCATGCAAGAATGCAAGATTAGTCATAGAATTAAATTTTCAGCTTCTTGTTTTGAAATATTTGTAAATATTATAATGTATGTATGTACATATAAGTTAATTTCCCTGTAAATAGAAAGCAAAAAATTTTTGGAAACGCGCGTAATGCAAAAAATTGTTAGTGTTTTTTTTTAAGTTTTCAATGGCATCACTCTTTTCTGGCGCTTATTGCAGGTGCTTATGTTCAACTGAACAAATAAAACAGTTTCTTTTTTTTTATTCCCTAATATCATTTAAAACTATACTAGAGTTCTTGAAGCATTTTTGTTTTTGCAATTTTACAATAACAGAATCGAGAATTAAATTTTATATTGCGTCACTATAAAAAATCATTTCAAAATTTTCAATTTAAAAACGGTTGTATACGTTTTTGTGTTCAACAAACTATAAGATAATAAAATAATAAAAATTATAATAAAGTAACAAATATAAGTACAATATTATAATTTTAATTAAATTTAAAAATAAAAATATAATTTAATTTAATTTTTCATTTTGAAATATTTTTGCATTGCATTTACATATAATGTTCCTGTCAAAATCTATACGTTATTATTATGACACATATAAAATTGCATAATGTAAATTCACTGTTTAACCATTCATGTACAAAAAAATGGAAGATATAGAATAACAAGATACGTAAATTAACAAATTAATATAAAAAGAAACAAAAAAATTTTAACTTACTCGTTGATACTGGACCACATCTGGCTTCATTTTTAAATGTACAAAATTTATTAATATCATCGAAATATAAACCAGATGGACATCGGTTTTCATATGGATATCCGTCGACACACTGTAATATTACAAAAATAAAAAAAAGTATTATTATATATTTATTAAGATGGTTTTGTTTGTATTTTGTTTTTCATTTATATAATAAGAATTGAGAGAATTTTAATAATTATTTTTATTGTATAAAATTTATTATAAGTTTATATACGAAAATCCGCATACTTCATATAATTAAAGTTAAAATAAAATAAATTAACTATAAAGGTAAAAAATTCTTATATCATTGTGTTAAGTATTAAAATTAAAAATTAATAATATGCGCAAAAATGAATGTAATGAAGAATAAAGGAAAATAAAAATAAAATAGGAAATATTTTAAAACAAAAATCCTTCTGGCAGAATGGGTCTTATGTAATATGTGCGTACAACATAAATATTAGAACGAAGAAAATTCATGAAGAAAAGTCTTATACTATAAAAACCAAAAGTTTTCAGAAATACTCTGAAGTTTTTATTGTCAAATGAATTGGCTAATTTTAAAGCAACTCTGCTTCTAGACCAGCTCATAACAGGATTTTCTAGAGTTCTTTTTCTTTTTTGATTCCATTCTACATCCGTACCAATAAAAAGCGTATTAATAACATTTATTTTAAGTACTGAAAGAGTTAATTCTATTTTTTTCATTTTAATTAAATTTTTGAACGAATGAAGTTTATGTATCATATCGGTAAATCCACTATATATTTAATGCTTACTTATTTGGCAAAAAATATTGTGCAAGTATTGCAAATGCTTGAATAATGATTCTTATTAAGTACATATTACTAAAAATGACATAATTATATTATATAACACTCTGCATGTTATCGCAATTATTTATTATCAATAATATTATAAAATAAATAAAATACCTGATAGAATCTCCGGCAGTTTGTTGGATCAGCATAATTACCATTACCAACTAGTGTCGGACATTGAAAATCCTTGTCATCTTTTTGACCTATAAATATAAAATAACAAAAGATAATATTTTAATGAATGAAAATAATATTTGTTAGTATATAAAATATAAAAAATAAACAAAATATAATTTTTTTTTTTAAATATAAACGCTTTATCATAACACCACAAGTTGAAATTTACACATGATTTCATTATGTTATTGTATATTTTTGTAAAATAAATAATTATTTACATAAATATTATATAACATATAATATATTGGCAAGACCAGTGTTTCTCAAGTTTTTTAATGTGTAAATACGGTATTGTTGTGAGAAATCTAATTTTGTGCTATTAAATTATTTAATATCATGTAGACAAATATTTTATCGTATTATTATGTTGCGCACCATATATTTAATTAAAAAAATTGTTCGTATCCTGCATCTGTTCGTGTCCATATTTAAAGTTTTTAGATTTTATTTGGGGAATTTCTCCAGAAAATTTTCAATAAAATTAATGGAGAGAAATACGATATAAAATTTCTGAACTCAATTGAATTTCTTCATTTAAACGCTAAAGTAATCAAAAAATTACTAAATTCCGTAATATTATATTCAATTCTACGAGTATTATAAAATATTGTATTCAACACAATTATAAATTCTTAACTCAATGGTTTATTTCCTTTAAAATTTCATTGCATTCAAAACTAAGTTTTTTCACAAAAATTTTGAAATGGTTAGGAAAAAATATTCTTACTTTAGATGAAAGAGTAAGAATAGTGTAGTTTTTCACTTCGGACGATTTTCAGAGCGTCAAATTCTCAAAATTCACAGAGAAAACTACGGTATTAAATATTAAACATTCTTAAAAATTTATATAAAATCTACAATATTTTTTGAAAATTCTATACATATTTTATAGAAATTTTGATTTGCAACAATAAGTCTGAAATGAATTTGGAACACATTCATTCACTTAAAATTTTCAACATTTATGATTAAATTAAATCCTGAAACTCAAAACTTACATATACATATGATTTATTACTACATAATATGGTTATATACAATGTAAAGGTATTTATGTATGCACATTTCAATATTATATAAAAATTAAAAATTTATTATTCTGAAATTTAAAAGATTGTAATAATTATTTATGATAACATCCGGTTTTACAAAAATAAATAAAAGAAAATAAAATAGCACAAAATATTCAATCGTATATTATATAAGTGAACAAATTAAAAACAATTAATAATATACGTGAGTATTATTATTATACGTGTAGTGTATCGCTCAAAAGAAAAACCAACTATATCAATTTTTATTAAATTTTGATAATTAATAGCATTTCCTTTTTGTAATTAAATTTTATGTATAATTTAAGTAGCTTTCTCCAGAATTAAGTAGTTTATTACTTAACATTAATTCAGTAACATTTATATGTATATTTGGTGTAATTGTAATATTTGCCTATAATTATGCAATGTGTTTAAAAATTTTTATTTAATGGCATTGATAATGGATTTAATCTTAAATATACTTATAGTATAAAATATTTTTTAAAATAGTCGAAATTTTTAAAATACGTAATATGACCTTAATTATATGTGAAAGCTTTTTAAGAGTTTTGTTTGCTGGAAGAGATTTTTTATTTTTATTTATTTTCACTTTATTAAAAAAATATTTTCTTAATTATTCAGATTTTTTTTTGTTTTTCATTTTATGTGAGTACCATTTTAAATTATAATTTTATGTTAATATAAGTAGTGATGGTGAGTATAATTTTAACAAAAAATTTAATATTTAATTAATATAAAGTTTAATATACTTTTAGGATTTATTTTGAATGATTTAATCATTATTTAAAAAAAAAAACGAAAATATAATAAAGTTGGGTAGGCGTACTAAATAAATGGACTTGCATTTCTGTGCATAATAACAATGTTATGTATGCGGATATATGATATGTAGGTTCGAATGAAGAAAAATTATGAAGAATTTTCTTTCCCTACGTATAGAGATTAATTTTTTGTTAAATCTCTTCATATTTAATTATGTTTTCTTGTTAAATATATGTACATTTGTATGTTATTTTCCAATTACACACATATTATATACAATAAAAAATATCTTTTAATAGAATTAAAATTTTGTTAGGGAATGAGAAATATTGATGAATATTTTAAAGTCCGAATTTGTGGTATAAAATATCTAGACCATTACATATTTTTCAGCAATATTTTTATTTTTGAGAATAATATTTTTTCCTATTTGCACTATAATTAAAATAATATTTTCGAGATTGATATTACCGTTATGTAGGTCTAATAGTCGTATCAACAGTTTCGAAAATGTTACAAATTTTTGTAAGATAGATTTTTTTCTTTAATTTTGTTTTGATTTAACCCTCAAATAATATTCCTAGTTAGTTACTAAGGTAATTCGTTCTTTTTTCCAAGAAAACACTTCCGAGTGTTTTAACATCAGTTTGTGTTATTGCAAAAATATTGTATTGCAACTTTAAAATACACTTCTCTTTGCAAAATATTAATTAACTATATAAGTTTTTGTAATAAACGGTAGTTAAATCATTAATTCTGTTAGTCTATTAAAGAGTTATAGGAATTCTAAAAGATAAATTTGTAAAAAATAGCATGATTTTTCTAAACACTTCTGATATTGTTATATTAAATTTTCAATTTTATTTAAACTTCAAATTTTATTAGATTTTTTCTTCAACTCGATTATTGAACGAAAATATTTGCCATGAATTTTATAGGAGCAAACTAAATTTCTTTCTTTAAGTTATATAAACTTTGTTTTTGAATTATTATTAAAAATTTGATGCGCTAATTCATGTTTTCGTATAACATTTTAAATTCGTGTACAATATATGCTATTTTTTTTTAGAAATAAATTAAATAAGTGCACAAAAATTAATGAAATTTAAGAATTTATTCCACCGTAAATAGTATTTCCCTCCTTTGTTCTTAAAAAAAAACTACGTTTTTATACTTCATGTGTAGATTTCTACACATATGAAATATCTATTATTTTTTTATACTTTATTCAAATCAAAATGTAGAAAAAGGTGAAAATATATTAAATTAATTTATTTGAAAAAAATTTTGTGCAAACATATCTATTGTGCTCCGCTTTACAACATGGTTTTTTGCAACAACAGCAGATTGTCTCATGTACGTTATTTTTTTTCTTTGAATCTTCTTCGTAGCAAATGTGGCATCTACCTCTTCCTTTGAGCTGTTCTAGAATGGTTTTTAGGCGTTTTAAAGCTGGGGCTTCGTTTTCAAAATCATAATCCTGTTCTGTTATATTTTGAAGCAGTGATGATGACATCAAATAACCAAAAATCTCATATGTGTAGAAATCTACACACATGGGACAAAAAGAGATATTTTTAAATTAAGCAGTGACATCTACCTTAAAGTCTTTAAAATTATGTGTTTCTGGTATTAAATAGAGAAACTAACAAAGTCATGAAGTTTCTTGATTTTGGTGACAATAGTTGCCGCAAAATTCATATATAAAAAACTTTTTGTGTAGGTTTCTACACAAGGTATAAAGGAGGGTTAATGATGAAACTATGAACATGTAGAAAATTATAAGAAGAAATTATTCAAAAATTTGCATAATAAACTTGAACTTTGTGTACTAATAAAAAATATACGTAAATATAGGTATTTAAATAAAATCAAATGAATTCTTATATAAATACTAAATTAAATTAAAGATCACATAATTCTATGAAAGTTTAGTACTAATTTTTATGTATTTAGTTATCTAAATCTGTGTAATCATACACGCTTTTAAAAATCTTCGGAATTTATTAACTATAATTAAATTTACTCATGCGAATAAAAGAGATCTCTTATTGTACGTATATGAAATACATAACATTAATTTGGTGGTACATACTGAAAAGTACTAAAGTGATAACAAAAACGACATTCTGTAATTTAATTTATATTTTTCCTTTAATTCGCCGTCCTTTTTTTCTCTATTCAAAGCTTCAAAGCTAAAATTTAGATATTTTTTCTACAAACATTCTTGTAACATACTAATACTTATTACATAATCAATTGAAATTGTACGATATTATTATATTATTTATAGTTATATTGTGTGTATGTAGCATGGTAAAATATAGTTCAAGTGTACCATATTGTCATCTGTAAAAATGAAAGGAGAATCAAAGAAAAGAAAGTATAGATATAAAAATAAAATGTTTGTTGGGGTATACATTGAGATTTCGTTGGATATTACATGTACATTATTTCGAAAGCTGATGTATATAATTTCGAAGGTTTCTTTGAGGGTCATGAAATTTATATACTATTATATAGTTTCTGTTTCCGAGATTTTTAGTTTAAGACTGTTTTTTGACAAAATGTTGATGCCGAAAAATATTATGGGTATGAAAATTAAATTTTACTCTTAAAGGGTAGCCTTTTCAAGGCCTTATAAGACAATAAATTGTATTTGATGTGTGATTTATAAAATTTTGTTTATTGAAATTTAAATTATTAAACTACAAGTTGAGAATTAATTAATTTATTAACAAATTAAAAACAAAAATTAATTAAATGATCCCAAAAAACAGAGAATTAATACTGTTGCAATATACATCGAATTTAAATATTGTTTATAATTTTCGATATTCTCAGAAATTTGAAAATTTGAAAATGAATTTATCGATTGATCCTTTCAGCTCACGTATTTTATAATAATTAAGTAATTTGTTATTATTGGTAGCAATTGTTCAGGTTTGATTTCCCCTACAGTATTCTTGTACACTTACTTTTTAATAGATCCTGAAATTTTTTTCGAAATATATATTATAAACAAATTTTTATATACATAATGTGCTTTCATTATTAAATTCAAAAAAAAAAAATCTTTGAACCAGTTTTTATATCCTTATTATATCCTGCCAGTTGCTAAAATAATAACATACACGGATATGCGCTTCTAAGAATGAAATCATTTTTATAAGTTTACAGTAGATAATTATATTCATTAGAGTACA